AAATGCTAGACTGTTCCTTATTGTATTATGCCGTAACCGTTTGTAGCTTGTTGATCAAGTGTTTGGTCTTATTCATCTATTTTAGGGGGCTCCTCTATTTCACAATTTTGTTGTGTTTTTTCCGTGGTCTCTAATGCCTATAAACCATCGCTCTACCGTAATCACTAAGTTTTCTTTGAGATGATAGCTACAAAGACCTGTGCTCTTTATTTCGAAACTGATAATAACACTGACATTTTCTTTTGGGTCATTTTATTTTACTTTTCTATAATTAATTTCTTATTCAGCTTTTTCGTATGTCTTTGTAGTTAGCCGGTAAACACAGCACAAGACGTAAAGATTTTTGCTTTTTATATTTTTACATATAACTGCCTACAAACTAATTAGCTGTTTTTTGTTTTTAATTCAAACTACAGAATGTTTGATTTGCTAACCAGAGAGAAATGCTTTTAGTAGTTCTTCACTTTTTCTGCAACACTTTTTTTCATTTCTTTTTTGTCGTTTTCTTTTCTTCTTGTCACTAAGTTCATCTTCCTCTTTTTCTTTTCAAAAATTTGGCAAAAATGTACAATAAAAACTGTGCACAAGAAAGTGAACACGTGAAAATGAGACAGAAAGTTTGCAAATAACGTCCTATTTTCTGTAACTAAAATAAGTGAACTAGACGTGCTCAACCGAATTTTACCTGCAGCTAGAGAGAGAGTGGCAGTCAGTTAGATCAAACTCAAGAAAAGGTCTTCTAGTCCTAGAAATTAAACAGAAAATTTTATTCTTGTTTGCATATTATCATTTCTAGTTTTGAATTTTATCGACGAGCATTTCATTTAGAAATAGGCTTAACAACTGCTTGCAGAAGACCTTCAAAACAAAATAGTCTGCTCAAGCAGTGTCTGTGGTACAGCAATTTGTGGCTGTCTAGAAACCCTTTAACTTACACTCTTAACATCATTTCTTTTAGCAGAAAATTTGGTCGTCTTTTAAAAAGAGTACAACAACAAAAAAAATTTTTTTTTACAGATGAAAAGACACACAGAAATAATATTTGAAACAGAAACCTTTCAAAAAGTTGTTCAAGCTTAAAACATAAAATAGAAATATAATACGAGGAGAAAGTAAACAATGTTTTTCCAATAGCGTATAATAAGCTACTTTAAATTAGAGAAGCCTAGAAGTGAAAAATCGCATACAGCGGGTTTCATAAACCCACAGAATGCTTAAAATTGTAGAATATTCTTGAACTGAAAGTATTCACTTATCATACGTGAAACGCTTCTGTCTCCAAAACTGAATATACTACAAAACACTTATTAGTTATGGTAATTTATAATGACGTAAAGGTTTTACAACAAAACTTTCATTTAAAAATAATTGATAAATTTGATTAAATAAGTTTTCAGTAGCTCTCTGCAGTTAGAATTTTACTTTTTTATTTTGCTACTCTCAGATTTACCTTATATTTTATAAACGTTATAATTAATTTGTCAGTTTTTCTAATTTTTTTGTTCGAAAGCATTTTTTTTAAATCTCGCAAAACTTCTATTCAGTTGACGCTTTCTAGAATCTAGGTTTTTCTCAATGTTTTCATTAAAATGCTTTCTTAAGCACCTGCAAGCTATTGTACAAAAATTTTATTTTATGCAACCGAAACAAGTAGTTCCTGCTTGTCACTCGCTTTTATATGTTTTTCAAGCCTGTAATCTTGAAAGGTCGCTGGTCTAGGTGAATTTTTATTTTTTTAACCT